GAGAGCCTGCCATAGTTGCTTGAAAGGCAGCATTGCAGGCAACTACTTTGTTTTTTGAAGACTTATTAATCAGCAGCTCCTGGTTTCCCAGCTATAACAGATATTTATAACCTTTTGGACAAGATGGTTTTTCACTGAATTCTGAAGCAAGATTTACTGCAAATGGATAATAATAATAAAAAAAGGCTAGCACACTGGCACAGAAATATGCTAATGTTATCAGAGGCTTTTTCCAAAGAAGGTTAGTTTCAAAGCAGAAAGAGTTAGCTTACTCCTTAATTATCATCTGCAGCTTCTAAGTAGGCAATTTAGATCAGGCTATCATATTTCAAATGGAACCCATTGCCTGCAGATGAGGCGTACACTTTAAAGGGTACTCAATGGGAATGTCTTTATCCAAATGAGATGCTTAGAGGGTAAATGAAAAGCTCCCATGAGATACAATTTCCTTTTCCTTCAGAAGCAAGGATTACTTCAAGAGACAATTTTATTAACGCCCTGGAAAGATACTAATAGGTGATTTAAAATGAAATGGAAAACAACCTTTTTCTTTTGCTAGCTGTTGTGATACGGAGATGTGCACAGATCCATTCTTGCAACAGGCTCTCACGTTAGCACCACAAAGCAATCCCGTTCTATCCTACTAGTACCTATTCTCCTAACAGACTCTTATTCTCCAGTAGACTCAATTCTTCTAACACCTATGCGCATACTTACCTTAATCATTGGTTTAGGTGAGACTGTATTTAAAATTTAATCATGTAATCCTCTGGACCAATATTTTCCAAGTAGCTTACAAGATGAGTGCCACAAGAAAAGGCAATATATGAATTCCAAATGAGTTTCCATCCAACTTTGGAATACCCTGTGTATGTAGGCTGGGCTAAAGCACCTTCAAAAACTAAAGGCAAAGAGATTTTAGTTCGAGATCTGCCTCAACACTTAAGAGACAACACACTTACAGGACTGCTTTTCCCCATTACAGTGCACAGTAGGTGTAATACTGACTCTGAAAGTAAAACCTATGAATAGCAAAGTACATGATAAAAACGTTGCTAGGATCAGAAGAAATAATTAAAAATAAGCAAACAGGACCTTCACCAGAACCCTTACTACAGAAAAAAATATTGCTTCAGAGCACTTGGATGAGCAACAAATCCAATCTGAAAGGGTGATGGACTGCGAGAGAAACAAATAATTCCAAGATGCTGATTGTTTTTGTCTCCACTCAAAGAATTATTACTGGGGTGAGGGTCAAGCTAATGAATATCCTAACGTGTGCCAAATTTACAATAGGTAATATACCAGGCACAGAGCCTACTGCTCAGAAAAACTACTAGTGTGCAACCAGGGAAGTTTGATCCATATTCATAGATGGACAAACTCATAGAACTTTTGAAATACATATACAGGTACCCAGAAAAAAAGGCTAGTTTATGTTTGAAAGCATGAAGAGGTGAAGAAATCCTTTGCCATAAAACTAGAATCAGGCCATAATGATAGAAAACATCAGGTGATTATTTGAAGCAGCCTTATGAAAACCAGCTTGGGCATGGAAGTCATGGCAGAATACACAGAAAAGCGTGGCAGAGCTCCAGGAAACACAGCTGGAGGGTGTAGGGTTTGGACCACAGGTTTCTTTGCATATTACTGGTTGAATATTGGGTCATGGATGTGGGTTGCAGGAAGCTTAAATGAATCAGTGTAGTAAAAAATGGAAAGGCATACACCTCACTTCACCATCTTCCAGGAGAGATGGTGGAGCCAGATTTAGGTCCAGTTACTCAGCAGTGATACCAGAGAAGCAGTATTAAACTGGGAAAAGGATTGGATTCTGGCAGAAGTGAGAAACAACTGTCTTGTATAGGAGGTTTCTTTGAGGGTTTTTTTCTGATGCTTCACAAGTTCCTGCTGCCACAGTTACAACAGCAGTAAGGTAATGCATGAGCCAACTATAATTTTATCATATTTGTCTTTATTCTTTTAACTGTACCCTTAAAAACTCCCCATCTGGTGGAATTCATAATTTCCCTTGAATTCATTTGTATTGTTTGCTGGAGACTTTTGCAGCTTGTAGGTTGGGGCTGAGAAACTCAGTAAGGCAATATGGAGATGCTCTTTGGTTTGCAGAAGCATCTGGAGCTACCTGCTGTGGAGTGCAGTGCTTCAGTACATTCAGAACTGGGCTGAAGCTACACGAATCACTGGTTTGAAGTCAGCTTGGCAACTGGTATGTTTTAATCACACATCTCTAGATCCCATCAAAAGCGATGTGTGCCAGAAGCACATGGCCAAAAGTATGACCTTGCCCTTTTCAGTCTGGAAAACTCCCTCACTGTTCCTATCATGTCTTAATGGGAATATTTGCAGGCTCCTTCAATCTCATTCCCAAAGAAACCAAGCCCTCTTGCTTTGCCAAGCTTTCCTGTTGAGCCTTACAATTTTGTTTACTTGCTTAAAGCTCTTGACATTTGTCATCAAGTAGCCAAGGTCTAGCAGTTCAACTTCTAGAAGAAAACATAACCTCAGACTCACAGCAACAGGAATGAAAGCAGCTGGTAGCATGGCTTTCTTTATTTCCAGTCATGCTGGAAGGCACAGTTCAAAGCAGCATTCAGGTACTCGACTACTTCAGTGTCGTTACTGACAGCCACAACAGGACTGCCGTGTCAGATGCTCAGCAGTATCTATCCTTCCACCTACACCTCCCCTAGCTGTCAGCCAAAAATCAGAACACTAAAGGCATTTGAAAGGAAAATGCCACGTGAATACAGATTTATTCAGACCTGGATGCAAGACAACTGGTGGGAAATTCATCCTACCTACAAAGCCTACATGCCCTTGCTGGCAAATGAGCTTCAGGATCACATCTGATGAAGGACACTGAATTTATAATGTGCCCCCTTTTTTTCAGGGGTATCAACTGCTCTAAGAGATATTACCTTTCCCAACTAATCTCACTTCTGGTTTTAGATCATCCCTTCCCCATTCTGTTGAAGCAGCACAGGAGAAAAGCAGAAAGAGCAAGTTCATGAGGAAGTCACAAGAATATTTAGACAAAACATTAAAATAATACCAAGTTTCACATGCAGCGCTGGGCCAGATTTTCCAGGCACACATCTGCTACCCCACATAGTCTGCACATCTTTGAGCACTTGCAGGTGCCTCAAGTTTGCATGGAAGTTTCAAACTGCACAAGAACTGAGTATCTTCATGCTTCTCCCAAGGCAGTTGTGAATGCTCCATCCCTGGCAGTGTTCAAGGACGGGTTGGATGGAGTCTTGGGTGACATGGTGTAGTGTGAGGTGTCCCTGCACATGGCAGGGGAGTTGGAACTGGAAGATCTTAAGGTCCTTTCCAATCCAAATTAGTTTAAGATTCTATGATTAAACTCTTGGCAAATAAACTCTATAAACATCAGCTGGTTAAATGTCATCTCCCTTCTCACCTGCAAATTATATCTATACTATGTGGCCAGCCATCCTACTGTAGATGTCTTACATGCTGTGCATGCTGAACACATTCAGCCACAGCTGGGAGCCACACAGTTCAAGGATCGGCTACAGCCTCAGTTGGATCCCTTCTACAAATAAGCCCTATTTTGAATCATCTTTCCAACATGCTAGAATAACACAATTACCCAACAATTATTTCCAGTTTTCTAATTAACAAAACTGTGGGAAACTGCAGACCCAGTCACTTCCTTCTAGAAGCAGTAGTCGTCGTGCCTTGTAGAACACCAGGAAATACTTTCTGGCTACTCCTCTCTATTTTATTAACTTTTTACATAAAGTACTATTTCATAATCATGCAGACTAAAAGCACTTTACCATAGGGTGTAATCTGTAATGAATGCTGGAGAAATGACCTATTTGGAAGTGAATCAAATTACAAATTCATGTAACTCAATTTTCAGGATCCATCTCATGCATACTAAGCAGAAATGAAAGAAAATGCAGACAAGTTAAAGACAAAAAATAAACATTTGTAATACCAGGAAATGTGCCTCTTTGGAGTAATAAATACAATAAAGGCATCAAGTTCAGTTTTCTCTGTTTGGAAACTGCTGCATTTTAGCACGTTAAAAGAAGTGGATCCTATTGCGTCTGGTCTGTGCATAGCAATCATAGGCAAAGCAGGATGTGATCTCACAAGAAAGCAAAATAATTTGAGTCATAGTGCACTAGACTTGAGATTGGATTATGCATTTCCTTAATTATCTCAATTCCTCAAAGAAACCACTTTTACAGAAGTGAAAGCTTTCTAGAGTGGACTTGACATCTTTTAAAAGCAGAAGTCTCTGGATATTCTTTTGAAGCAGGATCCTAAACAGCATGAACATTTTTAATATAAATATATGTATTTTAATGTATATTTAACTCATTACAGCTTTCAGACGTACTTAAACAAGAAAAACTGTTTTCCCAATTCACTAAGTTCCAAGGTTTAAAGCATTCAGGCACCAAGAGATGCAGAGAGGCAATTAGTGGAATTTTCAAAAGCATTTCAACATTATGGGTCAAACTTGCTTTGAGTTTTGCTTCCCCTTCCCCATGGAGTAGCTCTTCCAGATCTTTGCTCCTCCAATCATTGGAAATCCTCCCACATTTCCAGCTTAATTAATAGCTACAGTACAGTTAATATATACATTATCCACATTTTACTCTTGGGCCAGTGCTGTTTTGTTCCTTTTCCTTGCTTTCCTTTTTCCATTCCCTGGGCTGTCCTGGCCTTTACACAGCTCTGTATGCTCACAACTGCTCTCTTCTCCTTCACTAAGCTCCCATACCCCAGAGGTTCCTGTAGCCCCATCCACATCAGGTCTAGCCAAATCCATCCCTCATGCACTCCTGGAGCATTAAACAGCATTGTGAGGAGCCCCAGATTCAGTGTTTTATCAAAACCTGCTATAAATGATGGGAAACCCCACTGAAAACGGGCTTCACATCAGCCCTGAATGCCTGCCTGCAAGCAAACCACCACGAAGCAAGCCGGGTTACCTGAAGGGGTAGGCAAAGGCTATGTCAATGTTGAGGTCACTCTCTGACTTGTTTGCACAGTCCACACTGAGGCGCAGTTCTCCAGAGTACCCACCGCATGTTGCAAATGCAAAGATTGCAAAAAGCTGTCAAAAACAAACAACATTTTTGTTTTATTTCATTTCAGCAACCCCCACAATCAGATCCATGCAGCAGCTCTTGCTGCAGCACCAGCCCCCTCAGGTCAGGTCTATCCATCACTCCGTGTGCTCAAAGCATTGCATGACACTACTGCACCCTTCCCAAAAGCAAATAAAAAGAACCACAAAACATGAAACTCTGCTGCCAAATGTAGACACAAACATCACCATTTGACTGTGCCAGGCATCTCAGCCCTCCCCTCCTGTTTTGAACCCCATTTGGGATTCACAACCCAGGCAGGCTATTTAAATCATCCCTCTGACAGACAAGCTTGGACAAGAGAAGGATGAATATTGACCGAGCAGAATGAATCAGTCTTAACCCGAATAAAATGCCGGCAGAAGTATTCAGAAGGAGCAACCAGGAGTAGCAATAGGAGACCAAGACAGCTCATGTGGCCACCATCCCATTACACAGCAAAACAGGGAACCACGCTGCCCCTCTTCCGTTTCTGTTATGACTTGGTGAAAAACCCCACAATACTTATTTCTTTTTCCTAAATGACTACTATAAATCAACATGGCTGTAGAGGTGCAGTAAACTGACAGCAAAATGGGGGGGAAAAAAAAGTAAAATAAAAATCAAGACTTAGGATAAGCTCAGGAATAGCAGACAGGAACGAAGATCTTGGCTGCTTTTGATGAATCTTAATCTTCCAGGAGAATAAGGTGAAGGAGCGAGTGTGCAAGCCAGAGACACATCAGCATTTATATTTATATCAAGGGTCCATGTATAAAGTGGAAGTGGAAGCAGGCATAAGTGTCTTTAAACATCACCAGCTCAGGCTTCCTTGAAATACCATGAGCAGAAGTGAACACAGCTCATTTATGCAGTTGTTTAAATTGAAGGACAGGTTAGATTTTGTTCACTGTAGCACTGTAGCTCTGAAGCAACTCCATCAGCTTTAACAGAGTTACTCCGAGATCTACAGTGGGGCAGATATGGGAAATGACAGGTAAACACCTGCTACCAGTCACAAGTAAGTCAGCAACTCAGAAGAAACAGTGTGCACATCTGGAAAAGAAAACATGTTCTTGGGCACTGAAAAATTATACAGCAAGCAGATGTAATCACAAAATAAAAGGCTGAACGATTCAGTAAAAGCAATACAGAAATACAATAAATAAACAGACCTATCAGCTGCCCAGGCTCTGAGAAACAGACTGTTAATCTTAGGTCTTTCATTTCACAGCAGGAGCAAAGCCAAAGGTTTCAGCAGCCTCCATGCACTTTGTATGGGCATCTTTTCCCTAGAAACTGCTAGGTCACAGGTATGATTCCTGGGCACTGAGGCAGGGAGATCCACCGCAATGACTAAGTAACTTGTAAGGTAGAGCACAGAGAATAGCAGAAGAATACAAGTGTCCACCCTGCTACTCACTTCTAATGTGACTGGGGCATATCACCCACGATGGATTTGCAAAGGTGTTTAGGTGCCAAGAGAAGTTGATAAAAGTTTTCAATTAATTCTTCATGCTGAGCTAGCTGGGGAAAAAAGGAAAACTGAATTTTACTGTGAACTGACTTATGAAATAAATGCCATGAAACAAATGTTTCTACTATAAACTGAATAGTGTTCCTTCATGCTAAATGGATACTTCCTCTGTAAACACAAGTTTCTGTTCTTACATGTAGCACAGCACTGAAAACCAGTATTAATCATCTCAGTTTAATTTGTGAGGCAGTGTCAGAAAACTGTATATTAAGGAGAACAGGAGAGTAGTGCTGACCTGTTTTCTGGCCTAATTAATGGAGTTGCAGATGCAAGTGCTTTCCAGATACATAGGGAAGCACAAAGATTAATCCCATGATACAGAAGGAGGGAACAGAAAAGTCGTGGTGTGGGACAGACCTACCATAAAGGAAGCCATCATGAGAACAAGCAGAGGAAAGACATGCTGATTTTCATTACTTAATTAAAGGAGATACATTCAGTTGCATGCGTGCCACCATGGTTACTCACCAAGGCCATGGAGCCATGGCCAAAAACACAGCCCAGGCTCTTCCTCCTCAGAAAGGATCTCCAGAGTTCATAGTTTTGACTCTGCTCTAGTGAAAGCACCTTTACGGCAGCCTCAGGCATGAATCTCAGTCACTCACAGTTGAGCTCCAGCCTTTACTCACCAGTTAGCCCCACATTCAGTTCTTAAGCTTTTCAGATGCTTTCAGTCAGCAAACCCTTCAGTCTCCTTCCTTTCCAGCCACTACCCACCAGATTCCATCCTTGCTCAGCACACACTCTGCTACAAGCACCCAGGCAGCACCCATAAGGCAGGTGGGAAACAAAAAAGAGCTCAGCTGCAGATTTTTATACCAAATTTTACCAAGGCCTCAGCCAACCCAAACTTGGCTCTGCCGTGGCTGCATCAAATGCTGCTAACAGCTGGGATCACCCAGCTGCCAGTAACAAGCGCTGAGGCCATGCAGCACCTTTTGGAAGCATATTTGTGTACTGCATTGAAGGAGAGCACAGCTGTTAATCAATGGTATTTCCCTGGAGTATCTTGGCCAAGCAGCAGGGATAATTCTCCTCCCACCCAAGAAACCTTTTCCTCCTACCTCTGCATTGTGCCTTTTTCTCCCCCCAGGTTTTGCTGCTTTAGAGAGCGCCCAGTGCAATAAAACAAGATTTACTCATCAGGTTTTGTGCACACTGTAATTCTGTGGCAGTTGCAGGAATGCTGTAAACACCATTGTATTTTATTATAGCAGGATTTGTGTAAATGGCAGTTGTAAACCCCATAATGGGAGCTTTATGGGCCAGATTCAATAAAACCTCCATCTGAAAGATAATTTTATTGAATCTGGCCTCTCTGAAATTGAAAAGTTTATGGAGAAAGGGAAAGCATTTCCCTATGTTCCGATTTACTCTCTGCCTATAAATCCATATGCAGTGGTAGCCCCATCTGCAATGTGCATGCATATTCCTTTCCCCCTTCATATTAGATAAAACTCCCCAGCACAGAATTACCTCTGGTTATTGCATGGCTCAAGGCTTAGCCCTGATGGCCAGTGATGTGCCTGCCTTCCTTGGAGCAACAGCTGGGAGAAACATGGAGCCCTTGACGCAATAAATCTGTGCTGTTCCGGGCTGCTTCTGCAAAGCCCAGCCATACCCTGTGCATCCCATCCCTCCTGCAGCAGCAGGTATAGCCTTGCAATTGCGATTCAGCAGGGTGGTTGGTGCCTTCACAGCCAAATGGAACTTTGCAGGGGAATGGAAAATGCCATTCCCCACCCTGGACCAATAATCTATGTTCAGTGTGGCATAACACCCCAAGCAAGCATCCTGCTCTTTCGATGCGTGCTCTTGAAGCAGTTACCTGAAGAGACCAGAGACTGAAGACAGGAGGAGGAATGGACATTATTTGTATTCCCTAGCATGGATCCTGAGCAATGTTCATCCTTTGTGTCTAGTCCAGCCTGGCTGGATGATCACCCTTCTTCCACATGGTTTCAGACACATCTCTAACAAGGCAGCACATCTCTGAAGCTTGCAATGACTTTCTGCATGCTGATTAACACGTCATGGTGATAACCTTCACATCATTGTGATGACCTTCCATCCTTGGCCAGCATTATTGCTATATTCCTGTAAGGAAGTTAGATAAATCCCATATTCTAACTTAACCATCAGGATTTATATTATGTACTGAGCAATAATAAACAGCCTTCCCTATCAAATCAGATTAGCATGTTTTAAAGATCAGTTGGTTCCTCAGCACTTTAAGGAAAAGTAGTGATAATATATCCAGCAGAGTACATGCTTCTCACACCAGCACAGGGAAGGAAAAGGTTCATCAGCTGACTTACGGGATCAAATGGAAGCCCTTCTTCTGATGCTAGGCTTCAACACAAAGGCAATGGATCCTCTAATTCAGTACTCAGGAGCTGTGATTTACCTAGAGTCCACATTCAAGGCTGGTACCCTCATTTCCCAGCCCAGCCATCCCTGATGGCTGGGGGCTCAGGGTGTGCAGTGCCCTGCTGGAGCTGAAATCCCAGCTGTGCATTAGACACTTGGCAGAGCCTCAGTATGTGACCCTGGACATCCCATCCCCACTGTGGATGGGAAAAGTAGGATGACTTCCCATTGCTTCTCTGTGTTTGGCTTTCTGACAATGCCCTTCAATGCCTGCTGAGCGACAGGCTCGCTGTGTGCACCAGAAGAAGGCAGAATGGTTTCTGACAAGGTGAGTTAAAAGGCTTATGTAGAATGTGCTACAACTAAAACATCCTGTTAGGAAGATAACACTGTCATTTAAAATTGATGAAACTTTTATATAAGACGCTTGCTTTTCCTGGGAACACATCTGCCCTGTGCAGCCTCCTCTGGCAGCTAGCTGGGAGATGAGATGGAGCCATCCTGGGAATGCATCCTAAATCCATCCTGGTGCAAAAAGGAGATCCCTACTCTGCCTGAGGGCTCTTCAGTGACTCCTTCAGTATGGCAAGATAGTAAAAAGTAACCATGTCTGTCTTGCCTGGAGCTCAAAAAGAGGTGCAAAGGATACGTAGCTCACTACATGGGTTGGTCTTCAGCACTTCTCCTTGGGGTTGAGGGAGGAAAATGGGAATGAACCTGATGGATGCTTTCCCAGAGAGGTCTCCCCTGGTCACCCCCCTCCTGCCCAAATACTGAAAAGCCAAGGGGAAATCCTGACACTTTCAAAAAGCAACCTGAAATATTTGAAATACTTACTCTTTATTAGTCATTTTACACACTCTAAGTGTTTTACAAAAGACATATTTCTTTGGCATCATTTCTGGATGTAAGACTTCCCTTTCTCTGGATCTCCTTAATAGACAGACTGCAAAACATTTGCCAAACATTATATTGCTTTATACTTTCTGCCACCTACCATGGCCAATAGTGCACGTGAGAGGGAGAACATCCACCCTGGAGACATCTCCCCCCAGTCAGAATTGCTCACCCAGCTGAGTG